GAGGGTTAATGTCTTTGATACACTTCTAAATTCCCAGAACTACTACTGAAAGTAACATGTCGCAATCAGTAATGAGAACTAAGTTTTAACTTCGTTTCTTACTTTACAAAAGGCATGACCATGAAGAACGCATTTGGGTTAAGTCCCAGTTTCTCGCGGCTCACTGTATCTTTCTTGTGGGATGGAAGATCGTTAACATAAAACCACTCTATGTTCTGTGGATCAAACAAACAAATTCAAAACTCTGTTCCTCCCTGGTTGAGATACGTTCACAGATGTATGATCTATACGGTTTAGAAAAGTGTCACATACGTATATGATGGTTAAAGACTTAGCCAAGAGGTGAGAAGAAACATCTTTGAACATTTTACAAGAGTGTCAACGCACCCTCTTTTACTTCCTGAAAACTGTAGTGAGCTACATTAACAAGATCTCTGCTAGGATCCTTCATGATAGTGTAATATTTGATGGCATCTTTCAAAAATCATACAAGTAAATGGTTAGTGGGTAGACTATAAGAAGTTGGGTTTTGTTCCTGAAATCCCCCGCGCGCGTTACCTTGGTTAATATTAGGGAAATTAAGGGAAGAAACAAGGAGGGAATAGGAAGAGGCAGGAAAAACCCTTCTCTCTTTTGCCTTTTTCTCCATGCCTACGCATCTCGCAACTCGTGGCTCACAGCTAGACCACTCTTGCATGATCACACGCTAGAAACTGAACTTCTCGCATGCTGGGAAAAGAAAGAGGCTTCTTGCAGTCTAGTTACTGGATGAAGAGAAAGTCTAGTTGGAAGACATAAACATTATTTCATTGCATCAAACCACGATGCGGAACATGCAATGTAATGGCATCAGGACTTAGAGAGACATTGTTCACTGTAGCAGAGTTACATGTTAGCATTTGGTGACATCATTTAAATATTTTAATCCCATGAAGGAAATATAAGCCTAGGATATTTTCACTTTTTAAAATTAAATATTTCTGTAACTACCATTACTATTGGTTAGTTCAGTATGGAACACTTAAAAGAAATATGCATCACACTTTGACAGACTTGACATTTTATTACTCTCATGGCAATATTGATCATTGTCATTAATTTTACCTTAATTTCTCCTCTAGTTTGTGGTTGGAACACTGTCTTTTCAGGTACACCAGGGACAATGTACAGCCTTACCTGTCAAAACAGAGAGAAATTCATAAAATAAAGGCTATACATGTATCTACATGTGTAACGTCAAATTTATGGATTACCATCTGACCAAGAATATAAGGGCCTGGAGGAGTTTTGTCAGTGACCTATGCTCCAAAATGGGAGTAGACAGGCTTCAGATCAGATCAGATACATGTGTCATGAAATTTCCTACAATTTTTTTATGGTAGCAACTCTTTTGTGACACTTCACAAGACAATGATATTCCATAGCTGTGATGACAGTATAAAAAGACAATAACAGTTTCAGCAACTATGAATTTACAAATGTAGTCCACACACACCTAAAGTCAGGATGTGCTTTAGGTGAGAGCCTGCCCAACGTACAACATAGCTTTTCAACCACAAAAACTTCTCTCAGAAATTTCTTCAGTGAATTACTGACAATGTGATACTATGCAGTGTGAACATTATTCATGTAAACTGTGTACATGCTTAAGCAAGTACAGTCAAGTTTTTCAAAGTATTACTTGATGATCCTGAAAGTTGTGTTCTAAGTATGCATCTGGGTCAGCAAAAAATGACATGTCAAATCCAGTTTCTTCTAACACCTACAAGAGAGTAAGTATCATTTAATAAGATTCCTGCTAGATTAGTGATCTGCTACTAACAGCATTTTGATTTCTAGAAAAGACAATCATCCACACCCACCTCTCTTATAGCACAGTCAAATGCAGATTCATCTTTATTGACTTTTCCTTTTGGAAAACCCCAGCTTGTCCGTGACATGAATGGCTGCACTAACACACACTAAAACAACCACAACATAACATAATTTGTAACATTACATGTAAGTACTGTAGCTCAAAGAAATTAGCAGAAATGCTACTCTGTGTATTCGAAGGTAGATAAAGTTTATGTATGTATGTTACCACAACAAAATATTACACTGGTGTTATGACACAAGAGACATCAGTGTATATTAAGGGCAAAAAGGCCCCTTATCCTTCTAGGATACAATGTCTAATTCATGATATTTAAAAAAACAGAGTACATTTTCCGTGTTGCTATGTAACATATCAAACGCGATAGACAGCGTTTCACCTGGATATGAAAACACCAAGAAGAGAGTTGAAAATATGATGTGCAGCAGAGTATTTTTGATGAAATTCAAGGCGTTTGGATAGTCAATGAAACATTATCTCGAGTGTTTGATACATCTTCTCAATCGAAACAAAAACTAAGGAGTAAATGGAGAATTAAAATCATCAAAATCTATGCTAATTAAGACTGGGTATCCAAACTTCCCTCACGGTTGTGATTTTCTTTGTTTTAACTTGATGAACTATTAATGAGTTTGAGAATGATTATTGAAACACTACTGGAAGTTTGAGATTTCTCCCAAACATTTTGAGTTCTCCTTAATTTTCACATTATTTTGAGTGTTTGTATATGTGTAGTAAACTCAACTTATATGCAGAGAAAAGGTTTTCAATTTCTTTTAAAAAACACTGTGAGAAATAGAAATGAAAATTACTTGTTCATTTTGAATATCAGAATGCAAATTCTCCTCACTCATGCAACCATTGTATAATCAGCTCTTGCTGCTCTCTGTATACACCCGGTTTTAGAAGTACAACTATTTTGTGCAATTTGTTACTGGGTGTGCTCTAAAAGGATATAATTTATTGATGAATAATATTATTGTTACCTTTTCTAACATTTGATTTAACAATATTGCCCCATAAACAGGAACACTGTACTTATACTTTTTCCAGTTCTCAAACACTTGATCGATGTTCTCTCCAGTTTTATTAAGGAAACGAAACTGCTGAAAGAGTGACCGAGTTAAGGAAAATAATTATCCTGAAAAGGTATTGTACAGTCATGTACATGTAGCACAAATAATAATACATATACACCAAACTTCATACAGAGTTTACTTCGAGCTGGGAACTAGTTTGTTGGTTTTTTTGATCTCTCAGCCAATACTTTTAGTATACTGCAATACACATTGTTACAAGACACATTAGTATATATATTGTATTTAGAATCACTTTTATCAAATAGTATACGTGTATATATTGTATTTATAATCATTTATCAAATTCTCAATCGCAGATAATGCATTTCTAGCTAATCTTAGTTACCAGCCATTATAGCTGCATTTGACCTTCTATGGAAAATGAGTGCAGCAGGTGCTTCTCAGATGAAAAGTTTTTGGTAGTGTAAAACAGCAGATTTGGTGAGATTTTTACCGCTAAATACAAGAAACAATGGACAATACAATATACTGGAAAGCCACAGAGTGTACAATTATTAACTCATCTACATATACATAGAGTTCCTAAAGTTTCTTTAATTTCCTAGGTTTCCGAGTCATTATCGGCAAAAACTGACCGAATTCCGTAAAACGGTGGAAACCGGTATGGATCCACTTCTTCAACGGTTAAATGGTTTCGTTAAATGGTCGATTTTGCTAGTTGTATTTCAAAACGGAACTCGAAGCATGTTTCTTGGCAACATGCAAGAATGAAACCGAGCTTAAAGACGCGAAAATTTTCGAGAAGAGAAACCGAGCTACGGCAATCAGGGTAATCTCGAGTTTTTTCATCGAGTTTTTATTAATCAGTCGCACTTTAGCGCGACAGTCAACTAAAGAGAAACCTTCGCCAAACAAGATTAATTAACAACTATCCACAAAAACGAGGACGAGCGGGGTTAAATATTACAACTGAACGGTATTCCTTTTTTCCAATGCGTAAGCAAGCCAAGACAGCTAAAATTACATTCAGACTGCTATTCAGACTGCTATTCAGACCTTAGCTGGCGTTGTTATTGTCTTCTTCTTGTTGTTGCTAAATCATTACGTAGTGTCTTACTCAAACCTTCATTAAGCACGTTGGTTGATTGTTTATTCGCAAATGACTCGATATTATAATCCTCTACTTTAGTGGGAAAACTCTTTTATAATATACGACTGTTTTTTCACACAAACAGATGAAGAATCCCGCATCTTGATATTTAAGGAAGAAGTACCAAACAAAGCTCTGCATGGTCATGTGATCGCGACTGGGCAGGTGCTCAATGAGGGGAGCTGTCGGCTGCAATGTTATTTGGAGCCCGATTGTGTGTCCATTAATGTAGGTCCTTTGAAGGACGGAAGTCATCAGTGTGATTTAAATGACGTCACCGACGACAAAGAGTTTGCTGTTGTACTAAGCCACACGACAGGCTTTACTTATAATGGTGTCGAGGTAAGAGCTGTGATAGTCACTCAGTCCTAGTTACGTTTTAATGAAAGGACAACTGATCACATACTGTTCTCGCATTTGAAAACAATTACCAAAATGTCAAATAACGACGTAGCAAATAATCAAGTGTGTGTTTACTATATAGTTAAGTTATGTATTTTCCAATTGTCCTAGCCCCCTTCACAACAACAGCAGGAACATAATCTATTTTCTCACAATTTACATTTACAGATAAATTTACAGCTTTTTGATGTTTACAGTATACTTTTTCGGTTGATAAATATTAAAGTTAGAATAATTATGGGGGTCAAGTAAATCATTCAGTTTTCTAGTTGGCCTCCATATTTACAAAATTAGTTAACTTTCGGTACAGGTAAGGAACCAGAACGGAGCTAGCGGAGAAAAAAATAAAATTGGATATAATATACCTACGAACGAACTGAAAGCAAATTACAATTAGAGTGAAATAAAATAAAAAGTAAGGTAAAACGGACAAGTTTTAGGAGAGAGCGAGTTTAAACAGAGCAAATGATAATGGTTACAATAAGTCAGTTAGTTTGGACATTGTCTAGAAAGTAGAAAGCATTTGATGTTTTTAGAAAAAGCGTCCTCATTCAGATCTTTTTGGTGTTGTGAGATGGTTTTCCAAAGATCAATTCATCTGCTTCCCAGTATTCGTTCTAACGCGTGGCTGGTACAAATTTTTGTTCGATCGTGATTGGTTCTCCACGCGCTAATCTATTTGTCACGTAATTAACATGCGATCACGTGGGTGTCCAATTGGATACCTACACCATTTGCAAATCAATTACGTGTTTACTACAGTTTTTAAGACTTATTGAAAGTGTTACTGCACCCTCATCCGATTTTAAATTACTCACCCGATCACTCCCTGAATTGTATTCCACCCGGTCAATATTTAAACTCCTAATTTTATTTATCTCCTTTACACTAAGCAGAATCCATGTAGACACGGCCCATGTAAAAACAATGGCGCTTGTCAAGCTGGCTTCACCAGTGAAGGGTTTCGATGTATCTGTCCTATAGGAATACTTGGAAAGAAGTGCGAGAGAGGTAAAACACCAGCAAAGCCTGCAGGGGTGATGTATATGAAACAAAATAATCCTTCAATTAATTAAACACGACCGAAATAGCTAAGAACACCAACTGTTAGAAGTGATAAAGGAGTGATATAGGCAGCCACATGCTTGACTTTGAACCACTGTTGCCACAATTATAGCTTCCTGAGAATTTTCCTTTTTTTTCCCCTTATCAGATTTGAGAGTGGGGTGTTTTAAAGTTGCTAATGGCCGTACAGAACTCCGTGATCTGACTGGCGAAGTAAAATGGGATAATGCGAATAAAGCAGTGAAGAAGTGCGCTAAGTTAGCTAAAGATGAAAGTGTTAAGTTGTTCGCTTTGGGAAAAGGTGGCGTTTGTTTATTTGGGCCGCATATGAAAAATACTGACCTCGACAGCGGAACTGAAAACGCACAGTGCCACAACGGTATTGGAATTGGAGACAGCGTGTTTTTATATTCCTTAGGTAAGCACTGAAATTTTCTTTTCTCTTTCTTTTATAAGCTGATGAAAAAGCTTTCGTTGTAGAATATCACACCACAATTCACATTACACGTGACAAGTGGCTGTAAATTTAATTCGTGGTGCCAGAAACTTGTGAACGCGCAGTAAGGCGCTTTTGAATTCAAAATTAGATTTTCTTTTTGTAGAATGTATTTGTCTCAGTCTTGCATTTTTCGTCAAAATGTACCTACCATGACACCTTAGCCAACTGTAAATCTTTTTTATTTGTTGTGGGCTATTGTGGGAGGATCACTGATGAATGATGATATTTTATGTCAATTTTTGTGTTATCCTGACACAAGAGACGATAAAAAGTTTGGGAAGTAATCAGCCATACAGAACTTATCCCCAAAATAATCCCTCATAAGTTATTTTTAAGTCACTCACTGGGAGGGTCCAGAAATAGCCAATCCTGTGACGCGGATATTTTCACGTGGACAGCTCAAGCAGCTTTCCACGCTTTAAGCCCTGGCCAAACGGAGTCGCAAGTAGACGCAAGTTCACAACCTGCGTCTACTTGCGACTCCGTTTGGCCAGGGCTTGCGTGCACTTGCGTTGACTTGCGATGACTTGAGCTCACTTTGGTCGAGATCAAATTTTCACGCAAGTCGACGCGAGTTTTTCACCGTTTGGCCACCCAACCCAAGTCAACGCAAGTTGAGTGACGTCCATAAACCTATTATTAGCCAATGAAATACAGGATATGTCTGCCTTAAGATGGTTTTTTTTGCGACTTGCGTGTACTTGTCAATGACTTGTGAGGAAACTTGCGAGTCCGTTTGGCCACCCAACGCAAATCTCTACTCAAGTTCAACTTGTAGCTACTTGCGACTACTTGCGAGTCCGTTTGACCAGAGCTTTACATTCTCCACGAAAACATCCACACAACGTCAGGTAGTAACATTATCGCCAGAATAACTGGGTACCATGTCAAAAAATAACCTGAGAGGGGCTACGAATAAGGCTCGTGTGGTCAGGGACTTAACTCCCTGCCTTACGTGTGTATCATGCATGATTAGTCAAGACAAAGTATAATTCACTACAAACATTTCGAACTTGTTACCGCCAATTGACAACTTGCTCCTCATGAAAAAGTCATGGCGAGTCATGATATCCTTTATAAAGTCATAATTATAAGCATTTGAATTGATGACTGTTCGTCGCAGAATGTTGATAGTATGTCATTAATTTGACATACTTCTAAGTAGTCCTGCTACTCGCCCGACATTCAATGTTCTTACAGTCGAACCTCTCGTAAGCGACCACCCAAAGTGTCAAGCCTCATTAGAATATGGTAACTGCCGAGACTTGCCCCAATGCCGATGCAATGTTTTATTCATATAAAAGTCAATTTCGAGAAAAAAAAAAAACGGTTCTTCCCATTCAGAAATTTCCGTTTCCCGTACTAACCAGGAAAACGACGTTACAACACCTTATTATCCATTTTTCGCTCCATTATCTGTCAAGTGGTCGCTTACGGAAGGTTCAAAACAAAGGAAAATTTCGAGCATTTAGCTCTAAAAGTGGTCGCGGTCGCTTATGAGAGGTGGTCGCTTGCAAGAAGTTCCAGATATAGTGATTTGACTCGGAAACTTTAAGTATTTTGGAAAACTGGTCGCTGAGGAGAGGTGGTCGCTTACGAGAGGTGGTCGCAACCGGAGGTTCGACTATATCTACATTTGATGACCACACACATCTACATAAGTATAAAATTTCCGTTTGATGTTGAGCCTTTGATCCAAGGCATTTGCCTCATATGTGTTTTCGGACAACTCGCTCATTCAAAGCTTTGCAGGGTTTTCGCGCTAAATGTCGTGTCCTACTATCGCAGAGAATATCTTGAAACGCGAACGTGTTGAGCAATGTAGCCTGTGATTTACTAAGCATCTCACCCAAGAAAATACCTAATAGTAACATGGTGAAGTTCGTCCGGGTTGTTGTTCGCCACAATAGACGGAGCCTAGACGGCTGCATGTAATATTCGGTCTCCAAAAACTATGGCTTATAACTTATATAGCAAAGAAATTTAAAAGGACCCTTGCCTCCGACAATAGCCCACGACAAATAAATATTTTTATTAGACTTAATCTTGCTATAAATTACGCTCTAAGCAAAGCTATTGTAAAAGGTCTCAATAATATCGCGGTGAATCCACAGAATCGTTGAGTCTTCAACCGCTTGGGTGTTATAAGGACAGGAAAAGCGACCGGGCTCTGCCAGATCTTTACCATAACCTCCGAGGAAGGATCCAATGGAACGCTACTAGACGCGGATTGGATCTAGTAGTGGAGCAGTGTGCAATACAAGCCTACAAAATAGGATACGAATACTTCGGCGTTCAAAATTATGGAGAGTGTTACGGTAACGGGACGAATTACACCAAACATGGTGACAGTCACGATTGCGATGTGTATGACAACGAAACTGGTCACGCAGTGGGAAAATCACTTGCTAATTTTGTGTATTACCTTAATAAAACAATGATAGAATTAAACTGAAAACACATTCTTCGACTGGAGACGCAAAATCAATCCCGACGAAAAAAGTGTCTGCTATTTTGAGCATCTTGAGTTAAGACCGTGGCGAACTATAAATGGACGTACTAGGCCTTTTTGTCTCTTGATTCAAATATAAAACGATAGCTCGTATTGTATCTGTCTACGTATTGAGATGCATAACGATGCAGCAGACGGATTATCTCTCTGAGCCAAGTCTCTCTTGTTGGGAATCCGCCTCTAGTACAAAAGAAGCCAATCATCTTTAACCGCCCATAGAAGTCTCGATTTCATAACCTAATCGTTTAGTAGTTGATACTTACTGGGAATCCGTAAATGTGACTGGCTAAGCCATCGTTGATTATTCGCCCATTGTCAACGCCCCGCCTGTTTTGTCATAATTCTGATGAATTCTAAAGAGCCATCCTGTTGCATAAAAAAGTTACTTAACTTGAAGCTCAACTTATTATGTGATAGAAAAAAGTGGTCCCTAAACAATCTAACTACTTCCTCTCCTTTTTTTTTTACGACCAATTAGCAAAACGGCTGTCCTTGGCTCTTCGCTAATAAAAAAATAACCAATCTCGCAGTCTTCACTGTAATTATATGCATATATACAAATATAAACTAGATTTGAGACTTCCTAACGTCAAAAGTATTACCGATACTGTACCAGGGTTACCACCCACCGGAACAAAAAAAATCCCTGACTTTTCATTGACTGTAAAGCAATTTTCACTGACCGTGCAGGATGATTATTTTGGCAGTCAACAAAAATAAGGATGGCTCAGATAATTTTTAAAACAAAATTTCCTTATCTATTCAAAAATATCTAATGAAATAATTTGCGGCAACCTTAAGATAAAATTCCCAGACTTTTCACCGATGTAGAAATTCCCTGACCTGATACAAAACTCCCTGACTTTTCCCTGACCTTGAATAAAATCTTATTTTCCCTGACTTTTCCCCGACCGTGGCAACCCTATGTACTGGTACTGGATGTCCGAGAGTAAATATTGATTTCAATAACAAAAAATTAATTGGTATACCTGTGTATAGCCCCATTTTGCTGCGTAAAGCCCGGTATAGCCTGGTGTAGCTGTGTATATACCCTTTCAATGGTATACCATGGCATAAACTTTATCCCACGAGTCACTTGTATTTTCTCGGTATACGCACGAGCTTTTACAGGTATAGTTTAATAACGCATAACTATTTTATACGAAGCCACATAAAATACAGTGGTCAACGCAATCAATGCCACTTACGCGCGGCGCATGATGGGAAGGTTGGAGTGATGCCGTTGAAACTACAACGGCTTTCATGTATTCTGATTGGCTGTATTTTCTGAGGCATAGTTTAAGGCATGGTATAGCCTGTCATATGCTACACTTTATCTCGTAGCATACCATGAGATATCCTGCTTGTCACACGAGCCTTTTTGCAAAAAAATTTTTACCCTGCCATAGAATACAGTGGCAAAGACAGTCAATGCGACGGCCACGCAGTGAAGTACCGTCGAGCTTACAACAACTTTGCTCTACACTGACTGGCTGTATTTTCTATGTAACTTAATGAGTATTTTACTGTAGTCTGTTAGTTGTTTCCATTCTATTCGACAGCTGAGCACCAATTTATACTAGATTAGAGGCAACCTTATATCAAGAGTGTAGTAATTGTGGTCCCAGGATTTCCGATGGTTCATGAGGAAAACGAACGATAGAAAACGGCGAAACTGAGGGAGACTTTCAAAGAACAGCCTAAAGTTCGCGTACGATAATCGATGTGGACATGTGTAATCAGCTATAGTACTAGCATTTTGTTATGATAAGTTGTAAATAGGTTGTAACAGATTTCTCGTAGCCTTAAGCTGAACAATGATTTGGACACACAAACTACACAAGTATCAGTGGTTTGTAAATGCTGGTATTGTCGTCCGTATGAGAAAATAGATACAAAAGTATTGGAAATCCATAGTTTGGCTAAACTATTCCTGCCACCCTTCAAAGGTCGAATCTTCTGTTCGCGTTCCTGTAACCTATGAAGCTTACGAGGGTGGGTGCTTAGCCCAACCGCTCAAACCGGAGGGTGAGGGTTTTCTCACGGGGTTTCCTTCCCCTAGCCATGGGTTCTTGCTATCAAGGGGGAATAGAAACTCGCCTCTCGCTATTGCAAGGAAGTAACTGTTAGAGTAAACTTTCCTTACTACAAAACACAGTATATTGACCGCGGTCATCCCGACCAGCGGCATACTTCATTGAATCTCCTATAAAAATTAAATTAGAAAGATTGTAGTAGGTTCCTTAGAAACCCTTTCTTGGCTCAGAGTAAAACAAAATGACACTTAGATACAATAAATTTAAAATTCAGTGCAGCGTATTCTCGCGATGAAGTTACGACTGTTAAATGACTTCATATGATTAAGAGTAAGTCAAAATTTGTATGATTGCAATGTTTCATGATTTCAAACCTATAAGGCTGAAACATGGGAACTAAATTAATTTGAACCCCTTCTTCGCATTTCTGCAAACACATTTTCCGCTTATAAACAATGGCTGCCATAAAACGCGCTATCTGAAAGATTACTGAAGACTACAGAATTTGAATAACTATGTTAAATCTGAGATCATGACATTTTAGCTCACTGAAAGCCGAGAAATAGGCATCAGTTTTACAGCTGGGGTTGCAGCACCACATTTAGCCGAAAAAGTGAGAGAAAACCGCAACACTAAAAACGAATTTTAGGTTGTGTCTTGAGAGCCTCGCCATCAAACTTCAGCAAGTAACTCATACAAGGGTTGCGTTGTAAGTAGTCAGTGTAGTCTGCTTTCACTCCATCTCCTTGGGAACGACGAATGTCGAAAAATTAAAACATGAGAATCACCGAGTAATCTCTTCCTGTTCGTGCAGGAAAAGTTCCAAAAACTTAAAATTCACGAGCTAAAAATCCTAAAGGTTTTTTATATCAATACTTAACGAAATATGTCTCAACTCGACCTAAACCTAGGTCTAATAACCTGTTTCCATCCGATTTAATCGTTAAATGGTTCATGTCCTTTGTTATATACTGTTCTACCAAACAAAACCTTTGAGGTGGCTTTTCACGTGCGTTTGAGTGTGTGCGATTTTGCCATGTTTAAGAACTCTTTAAAATTATCCTAAAATAAATTACAGTAATCCTCTAGATTAAAACACCATCTCGGGGGCCAGACCTGTACGACGACTAAAAACATGCCAAGCTCTTAGAGACTAGAGCTAAGCGTGACCATAATTACATGATGTCTGTGATTTGATGCATTTGGTGACCGCTACGTGGGCAGGCAAGCTAAAATGGGTTTCGTGTCAAACTTAAAGTTCAAAAACACCGAAGACGAGAACTGGAATTCTTTATCTTCCCAGCTGTGNACAAAAGCAAAAGGCGGGAATCGTGACGTCATTGAACGATACGACACTCACAAAGCTGACATACGGAAAATACGCCACTCGGGTCCTGGATGAAGTGGCGTATGGAATCTGCGAGTAGTTTAGTTCCCAGTAAAACACTCTTCTCCATATAATAAAAGCTCATATGTACCTCTACTATAGTTAGCCAACAATATTGCAAAGCGTTTCAAGAGTTTTTGGCTTCTCGTAACCGAATAACCCTAAAGCAACCTGGAAATAAATCAGTAAGCTATCTTACCAATTGAACAAAGCATCGAACCTGAAACTGTTGAAAATGACAGTACATAGGTATGGTTTGTAAGTTACTTCGACCGTTTCGACCGCCGGATCTCATTCGAAGTGCAACTGATGGTAAATGTTTAGGAAAAGGATATTGATTTTGGTAAAATCCTTGAGGCCACAGGGTGGGAGATCAGGCTGCTCTTGTCTGTAAAAGTCAACGTAAAACCAATGTGCAGTTTCGATCTGAAAACACAATCGAACGATATCCTTCCTTTCCTCTTCCGGAATGTTGATCAAGAAACGGCTGAAGAAAGAAACAATAGGCACTGATTAAAAGTCAGACTACAAAATAAAAAAACACAGATGAGTAATTTCTGACTAACCTACATAGATCTTCTAAAACTGTTTGAGGAATAATCGAATTTGAAGGAAAATACGGAGAATCAGTTTCGATGCCATCTTCGGACGCCATCTTTAAAAATAACTTGCCTCGCAATCATACGAAGGAAGAGAGAGCTTGGGTAAGAGCTTAGCAACCCTTCCGCAACCATCATGGCGGACAAGTCATATTGAATTTTCATGTGCGTGCGATATGGGTTACGGGCTTAAACTTCTCGTTTTACTCTTCTTCATTTCATTTCTCTATGTGGTTGGAATTTTTCTTTTCACGCGCGGCTTTCTTTTAAAACGACTAGTCATTAACGAGTACAGCGATTGTACGGAAATTCCAGACATGTTGCCGGATCAACAACAGTCGAGGAAAATAAAAAGTACAAATGAAGGTTGCTGGACGAAGACGACTCACAAAAAGGCTGTGATTCTCATTATCGATGCCTTACGCTATGACTTTGCGCAATACAACACTAGCATTGAGGAGCAGGCTGCGTTACCTTACCAGAACAAGTTAAAAGTGATCCATGAAGTGTTGGAAAACTCGCCTCAACATGGAGTACTGTTCAGATTTGTGGCAGACCCACCAACTACCACTATGCAAAGGTTAAAGGCGCTTACTACTGGTGAGAAACTCATGTGTTAAAACTCGTGGTTGACCCAATGGTCTTTTCCCACCCTGATGGTACAACATTGAGTCATTCCATTTACTATCCGCACCCCACACCCCCAGCCCCCGCCCCATTGAGGGACTTTGAATTTTATCCCTTCAAAAAAGTAAACTTTTTACCCCCAAGAAAGCAAGATCACAGTGCCAACACACTTCCCCCTTCCAAATTTTTTTAGAAGATCAAAGACACTGACACAGTTGCCCCCTCAGAAACAGCCTGTAAAGACTTGCCCCCTTCCCCTCAGATTTCCTAGACCCTCAATAGGGGGCTGGGTGTCAGACAGAAAATGGAATGGGTTTACTTGTGGGGGGAAAAACACAGAAATCAAATTCCACAAGCAAATGAGAGGGAAGAGTTGTCTGCCTGAATCTAAATTTTTGGGCATGGCTCAGGCTCATTACTTTGGCCCCTAATAATATTTACAGTACCGGTCAAATGTAAGTTGACAGTCTCGACTCGAAACTCGATCCTCAATACTCAATGCTTTCAAGAATCGAGTTTCGACGCTCGAGTTTTGAGTTTCGAGTTTCGAGCATCAAGTTTCGAGTTTCAAGACACTCAAAGAATTTTTCGAGAAAACGATTTATATCTCGAATTTGTAACAATAGAAATAAACAATACCGCACTTCGTGCGGCTTCCTTTATTCGTGCAAGAATACGTGTACATGTATTTCATATTAACGTCCAAATTGTTAGTCTTGAGTTGAAGTCTTGAATTGTAATTATATTCATTGCATAGAAAAAATAACACACGTACGAATCAGCGTGCAAGTGCAAAATGATATTTCTAGTTCTTGGCAGCATTAAATTACTCTTGTCATGTCAACTTCTGTTACATTAAGGCATGTTTAACATGACAACTTGTTTTAAACTGCAAACGAAACTTCCTGTGCCTTCGTAAAAAACCTAGATGGATCCCAGATGAAACGACTGTGTTGACTCTCTTTGTTAACTTACAATTACATGCTGGCCAATCAGAATCGTTGCTCCCACAGCTAGTAGAATTCTAGGTTGAATGAAACAGAAAGGTTTTCCACTGATTTATCCATTTTTTTTATTTAACAGCTTTAACAGTTGATATATCTTAATTTTTGTGAAATTATTATAGGTAATCAAGCAATTGATCTTAACTTCAGCAGAAGATAAGATCTTTCAATTTTGACGTGCATTTTCTTGTCTGCACGAAACAACCCACTTCAAGACTTTCTAATTTCTATTGAGTCGTAAAAACAAAACCCAGCATCGAATTGAAAACTGACCGGAAAAGTTACTCTGAAATCATCAGCAAATGGATTAAAGATAGCTCGAATCAAAAGAAATGTGTTCATACCAAGTGTCAAAACAAACAACCAATTGGAAGAAGCTGGTGATTTTGAGTTGCATGCGCACCTCGAGAGTTATCGTTTCTGATTTCTATTGAGCCTTTCTTACAGTTGATTACAACAAAACTCACTGTCTTGTTCAGAGTTGTTACTCTGTTGTTACTCTGAATTGAATGATAATTAACTCCAAATCGAAAGAAGTTCAACTGAGGGACAAAACAATCGATTTAAATAAGCCAACCGATTTATAAATGTAGAGTCGCCTACCGCCTCTAGAGTCGCGACTCGAAAATTTCTCTGTCTCCAAAAGTAAACCAGCAAGATTGACATGTACATGTATTTGGAAAAATTAACGGCGTGATAAATTCTTTGTCTCCTCAACTTGAAACTCGAACGACTTGACTCAAAACTTGAACGACTCAACTCAAAACTCAAAGGACTCAACTCGAGACTTGATACTTGAAGTTTTCGAGTTTCGAGGATCGAGGATCTAGTCGAGTCATTCGAGTTTTGAGTGACTGGTACTGTAACATTAGTGCTAAGGATAAGATTCTCCTGATCAAATGTAGATGTGCAAATATTGTGCTACAGTGCAACTCAGATGTAAGCGAACTACACATAATTATGCGTATTATACACACGTATTTTGCGTATACACGTATGTCAATACGTGCACATATGCACATTTATATGTGCATATATGTCTCTTTGTTATTCATTTCCAGAAGTTTCTTTATATGAAGCATTGTTGGACAAACAAAGGACATTTCTGGAATGAAAAAGCATCAGGTTTCAATGTGAAATTTACATATTGTGAAAAATGTCAGTGAAAGCTTACATGTAAATGTAAATATTTTGAGTTTTTGATTGCTTCACAAGTTCACCGACAAACTACCATTTATTAACGTTTGCTTGATCTTTGGCCGCCAAGAAGTTGGGAAGAAAATTGAAACAGTTGCTTAAACTCCTTGTTTTAACAAATTGTTTCGAATATGACATGTAATTTTTATGTTGCAGTTTACGGTTTTGAACAACTCACTGGGTCAAAGAGTAATTTTGCAAGTAGTCCTCACAGTTTTTAAACAAAATAATCACCTTTGGCTTTACATTGACTCCCAGATAATTAATTTGAGAATAGTAATTATGAAAATTTGTGTCTCACACACGTCAGCGAATCGCTTGTGAATGTTTATTGTCTGAAGCATTCCATGGCCTAGTCAAAAAAATGAGATCTCTGGTTCTATTTGACACAAATCATCCATTCAAACAGTAGAAATACTCTTTCCTTGATGAACAAATTGTTTATCAAAGTTTCTATAGCACACCGCTCACGTTTAGTTCATTTTTCTTCAAAATGTGTATTGTCTGAAACACTCCAATAAGATCTCTTGTCAAAAAAATTATATCTCCAGCTCCAGTGATCCATCAACCTGCACGTCCCGCATCTCAGACTCATAATTTTCCTAAAAGACGCACAAATTTAGTCCCAGATGCATCTCATCGGACGCAAAAAAATTACCTTCTCTCTATGACTATCATGACTTGATGACTTTTCTTCTCTATTTATGAAAAATTTCAAAATATGTATCAAAGTAAGCAGCGCATGATCATAAAGCAAATGTCATTGCATTCTGGTCATTACAGGCTCAATTTTCATGATCAGTGGTATTTTACAGAAGTGTATGGTTTTCGACTCCATACATGTGCTTTCTGTCTCTTCCTGCTTGCTTTCATAAGGCAGACATTGTTATTCCAATTGAAGGCTTCCGTGCAAAAAAGGCATATATAGCGTTTTGGGCCAATTTTTATTTTTTGGAGGATCAAGCTAATTTTTGGCAGACTGACTTGTTTTGACATGAAAAGCATCGTTGCATAATTGGTTTTGTTGATTTGTGCTTCATTTTTGAGAAATAATGTATGCAAAAAACCTCAGTCTTCCAAGCGACATCTTTTATTTTATTGCTACCCTGCTCATGTATATCTAAGCACACAAAATTGTACTTACTTTATTTACTTTACCTTTAATTTCCCAGGAAGTCTACCAACATTTGTTGATGCTGGGAGAAACTTTGCCAGTTCAAATATCACTGAAGACAACATCATTTTCCAGTTGAAATCTCTAAAGAAGAACATCACCTTCATGGGAGATGACACTTGGGGAAGTCTGTTCCCTGACTCTTTCCAGAAGTCCTTTCCATTCCCGTCATTTAATGTGATGGATCTTCACACAGTGGACAATGGTGTGATTGAGCATTTGATTCCAGAAATAATGACAAAGGACTGGGATGTTCTGATTGGTCACTTTCTTGGGGTTGACCACTGTGGACACAAGTTTGGACCCAACCACCCAGAGATGGCTTCAAAACTCACTCAGATGGATACTGTTTTACGGTATATGATAATTTTGTCCAGCTCTTGTTCCAGGGCTCAAAGAAAACAAATTTTCAGGCTTGCCCCTTGGGCAAGCTTTTACTATGAGGCACAAGCCAGAAAATCATTTTCACTATCCCCCAAAAAGTTCATCTCTTGCAGTAGTTCTGTAATTTGACTTTCCTCAAAAATGTCCGAAGGCCAACTGGAAAATCCACTAGTCTCAAGCTAGTGGACTTCCTTTGTACAGTGGTTTCCCTTTTGCTGTTGACACTCATGCTATGGAATATTGTTAATTTTCTTTATGCATGTGGTATTGTTCTAGATCATGACTCAGAGAATACTGTGAGTTTAAATCCCTCAATCATTTCTATGAGCTGCAGATGCACAGTTACAAACACCAGCTGGGGGGTAAAGGGTGAATTTTTTCTGCAATTGTAAAGATTGGAGTTGTCATGTTGTCATGTCTTAGAAGTGCATCTTCTAGTTCTTGGTGTAGTGGTGGGTTGCTATGTTGGTTACTGACACTGAGGTCGCCATAGTTGCTATGGGCCCCATGGATAAGCCAAGGGAATGAGTTGTTCACAAAACATTGTGTTATGAGCTCTCTCGAGAAAGTTGCACTAGGGAAAAATTGCGAATAATACTGTTACACAAACCAATTTATTGTGTTTAATGCCATCTCAGTGCAATAAGTGTGACCAGGAGTATTATTTCCTCTGTGTGATGGGATGCTTTTCCATCACAAGTTACTTCCCAGTAATTTAGCAGATTGCTTAGACAGTCTGGCAGTACTCATTTATACATGTACATGTAGGCAAACAAAGGAGCGACATAGCATGAACCTTGTTGTCGTTGAACCTGGACTGAGTAATCCATGGTCCAATGCACTAATCATTAGAACACTTCTCTCAAAGTATTTAAGCACTGCATGTATGTAAATATATAGTGAACAGTAACGCAGCATGCAAAGAAAGTCTTGTGTGATACATATGTAGCTTGGGGCTAGTGGATTCTGCCATTGGGCCAGTGGATTCTGTCCTCCACTTGCCCAACAGGCAGGTGAATTTCTTGGAAAACTTTTTGAGCAAATTCATATAACAGAAGTACTGTAGGAGGTCAGTGAAATTTTTGGGGCTTTTGAGAATGATGTTCGGACTAGTACATCCTACACCACAGAATGTCCTTTGGGCAAGCCACAGGCTGATTGTTTTTCTTAAATACACTGATGTGAAAATAAATTTCAATCATCTACCTAATAGCAATATGAAATATGCAAAATGCCAGTTAGAATTTTTTCATACATACATATACAGTGTACCTCGTACTAATCAAGTTTGAGGTCCGTACTGTAAGTTACAGATCAAGTTTCCCCCCTCCCCCCCCCCTTCAATTTATAGCTCAAGCGTAAAGCGCGAAGGCCACAAATTGAAGGGGAAAGACAAGGATCTGCAACTTACAGTATGGAACGAGAAGACGAGGCTAGTAACATATTTCAAATTATATATCTACTGTGTGTCTGACAGGTTTCAAATTTCTGAAGCATGTTGAAAGCAAAACAATATTTTTAAACTTTTACTTCCTATGAAAGTTAAGAACACTCGGTGCTAAATCAAGAAACACTTTGGCAACAAAAACAGCTTTACCGGTAAGTTTCAGCAGGGCGTACAGTTGAATATGGCCCGATAAAATGACCGATCATAGTGCATGCAGTAACTGAGATATATAATAAATGTATTTATGTGTACTGTTACTATGAGTGTGATCTATTCTTGCAACATTTGCTGCTTGTAGGCATTTTGAGAAGGGCAGCATGTCTAATAAATTCTCCTTGGCACAGCGTCAAGTAAATAAATTGTCATTACATTATGGTGATTGTTTTGAATGTTACAGGTCTGTGATGAAAACACTTGATGAGGATACAGTACTGTTTGTGATGGGTGATCATGGCATGACACGTACTGGTGATCACGGGGGAGACAGTGAGGATGAGGTTGATGCAGCACTCTTTGTTTACTCAACTAAACCTCTAGCTACTTGTAACATGCAATTAAAGGTGAGTCAATGTAAGTATGTTTATGCAAAACAGTGTAGCTTGACGTGCAAAGCTTCACAGAATTTTTTTTATTAAATTATTACATAACTATCGTTGCTTGCCTTGAATGGAAAAAAAGGACTCTACTAAAAGTGAAGGGCCTTATAACTTGCAATAGTGGTCAAAAGCCCATTTCTGGTAACAATATCTATCCCATCCTGGGCAGGTGTGTAGAATTTCAAATTTCAAGAAGTATTATCAGTAGAATTGAATGACATACTGCCCATGAGTGTGGACAGGAAGCAGGAATCAATGGCTACATGAATCATTCCCTCTGGGAAAGATAATGAATTATGCATGTACATGTTTGTATGATTACTTGTAATATGCGTCTTGCACTCTTGTCATTGTACAATATAAACTGTGCTTTTTTCATAATGTACATGTACATGTTCAGTAAAAATAGTATTTCATTTGTTCATATTCGTTCATTTGTTTGTTTAGTCAGTGATTTGTTTATTTGTTTTATGTATTTATTTATTTATTATTATTTTATGTTCTTACCTGCTGTAGGATAAAACTACAACTGTCTCTCAGATTGACTTGGTCCCAACCCTCTCCCTGCTTCTTGGCATTCCAATTCCCTATGGTAACCTGGGAACCATTATACCTGAGCTGTTTTGCCATGATAGCACCATGGATTTACAAGCGCACCATTCAGATGACAAACATCTTAGCATGGCGCAGCAAGTGCTAGACTTGATAGAAAGAAACACTGCTTTTGAAATAAACTCCAAACAAGTCAACAGATATCTCAATGAATATGCCTCCATTTCTGGAGAGATTTCAAAGAGCACATTGGAAGACTTTGCCAGAATTTTACACAATGCAACTGAACTTGTTTCTGAGACCAGAGACTTTGCTGACAAATTTGACAGTCACAAGGGATTGATTGAAAAAGCTACTATGGAAGACCTAACACGTCTCCATGAAAAATTGACAGCCGTTGAAGGATTTTACAGGGATTATTTATCTCAAGTGAAGTCTCTTTGTCAGTCTCTATGGGCTAAGTTTGATCTCAACTCTATATTTGCTGGTGTGTCTGTGCTATTTCTTGGTGTTGCTGTTGCGATGTTAACACTTCTTGACTGTGGTAGAAGGTTGTCACTGCTGGCAGTAATTCCCTCGATGGGTTTCACTCTGGCTTCTGTAGTGACTTCCTTTAGCTTTAATTTTATCATTGTCATGTCTTTATTTCCTCTGTGTGTATTGGTACTAGGTATGTTTATTTCCCTTCAGAAGGTAATAATCAAAAGGACGAAAGTGGCGGTTGGCTGTTTGTTCACTAAACTTTCAACAGACAGTGTTTTTGCTGCAGTTTTGTGTTTTCTTCAATGCATGGCTCTGTTTTCAAACAGCTTTGTCGTGAACGAGGACAAAATAATCGCCTTTTTCATTCAGGCTTTGATTGCTATGAAATGCGTTCAGGGCCTTTGGAAATGTGGGATTAGCGACAGGAGAAGGCCCCTTTTAAGACAGAACTCTAGGAGGTTGCCCAAAAAGGAGCACAAAAGAGGCAGTGTCATTGGATTTCTCCTCAGACTGTTATTGGCATGGATTGCCTTTGACATTGTCAATAGAACTGCCATCGTATTAAAAGCTTGCCGAGAGGAACAGTGGTCTTGTGTGCCTTCGGATTTCCTTAAACCTCTGTCAGCTTTAACAAACAAGGATTTTACAGCAAGCAATCGCTTTATTCTAACTGTGTTATGCACGGGTGTGATTCCGCTTGCAGTTCGACAATGGCTGCGTTATCAGGGGAATTTAAATGGGCCATCGTTCGTGGTATTGTGTGTAAAGTTTTCCCTGCCGGGAGCATTTCTACTGATCTGCGCGCACTGGGTGCTGCAGATGGTGCCAGAGGAAAGGACCTCTGTCTTCCCAGAGATTCGGCTGTGGCAGCAGATCATCCTTCCACAGATGGTTTACTGTCTGTGTGTCGCGACAGTCGCATGCCTAATGTATTCGCCACTGTGTCTCTACACTGTCTTCAGAGGCAGGAAAACCTCTTTCAGCGAAAAAGTCCAAGCGTTGCAAGACCCAGACGATAATTCTGCCATCATCCACGCTGTGGTTCAAGAAATAAAGCAGAATTGGCACGGTGAGAACGGGAACACTCCTGTGGAAGAGATTGGCAAAGATGACGCAAATACACCAATGGTTTACGGTCTCGCTACAGTGTACTCGTCAGCGTTATTGATTTTATTTCTCACCGTTGCGTTGCCGCTAATGATGCTTTTGGCCAACGGAATGTCCCCGTCTGTTTTTCTGATGTGTGTGCAGATGTTTTTGTTGTTAGAAATTCATGGATTGAGCCATGATGGGGAACTCGACAGCAGTTATATCAACGACTCAGGTCAGTGGTGGCGTTAAAATGTATAAAAATAATTTACAACCTCATGCATTGAACGTACAATGTGTTGCTCACCTGTTAATCTTTACATTTCCCAGCCCTATCCCAGTGCCTTTCCCGAAAAAAACCTGTCGGTTGTCTGCACTGTCGGCCGACTGTCCGCCGACTGTTGGCGGTTTGTCGGAGATTGGAGCGTAGTGTATGTGACGTTTTTTGAAGGAAGCGTTGTAAAAAAAAAAAAAAAGAAAGAAAAAAAAAACCGAAAGAAGCGATTAGACTTTAAACGACGAGGCAAAACTAGTGGATAACAACTGTTAAATTATCTGGTACACGTATTCGCTGTGAAAACATCATAAAGTGCGGAGTTCACAAATTTGAGTCAAATACAGTCAGGTCGAACCTCCCATAAGCGACCACCCATAATGTCAAGCCAGGGTGGTCGCGTAAGGGAGCTTAGACTGGGTTCAAATTTTACCTTTCAACATATGGTAACAGTGTATGTGCATGTTTTCTTAAAATTTTCAAATGTTTTATTCGTGTAAAAAGTCAATTTCGAGAAAAAGTTCGGTACTTCCCATCGAAAAATTTTCGTCTCTTGTACTACCCAGGAATGCGATAATGTTGCAACACCTTATTATTTCGCTCTATTATCTGTCAAGTGGTTGCTTATGGGAGGTTAAAAACAAAAGAAAATTTCAAACTTTTAGCTCTAAAAGTGGTCGCGGTCGCTGAAGAGAGGTGGTCGCTTACGAGGGATGGTCGCAAGCGGAGGTTCCACTGTAGTTTCATTTGCATTTGCATCTGCATTTACATCACTGGCAATTTTGGCGGGAACTTATATATTCGTCTAGCGGTCAAGTGTTCAGTTCCCGCCAAGACTGCTGCTGTCTCAAATTTACGAAATCTTCCACTAAGGTAGTAACTGAAGTCCTTTATTGACATGGTAAGTTCTATGCGAGTTCTATGCGTTCCATCAAGGATTTAAAAAGTTTATTCACCAATTTTGTGGTCTCGTATCTTGGTTTGTCGCTATGTTTCTAGCAGTTTTTCTTTACAAACCTCTCGGACGATACGCTTCATGTCAAGGCAATACAAACTATAGAGGACTGAAAAGCGTTTTGCGTTTGTTTTCTCTGTGTATTGGAATACAAGTTGGTCACTGGAACTGAAGTTTTGTTCTTAAATCTAAGTAGGCAAAGTATTGGAAGTTGGGTGTCTGTCACAGGAACGTCTCTTGTAACCAGGCATTTGTTTGTATATCTTTTTATCAGATACTTCATTGAGCATGGTAGCTCTGTGGTATTTCCTTTCGTGCTATTCCTTCTACTGTACAGGACACCAAGCCACTATTCCATCCATCCGTTTCGAAGCGGCCTTTGTTGGATTCCCAGGAGACATGGAAAGCCTTCTTCTACCAGGTAACCAAGCCAGAAAAACACAGTTAAAAACTCTTAGAAAACAGTCCTAAGAAAATACGCGCGCTGATTGGTTAAAAATCGTGTTTCTATCACTCGATGGAAACACAGAACTAGCACGAGCTGTTGACGTAATGATGGCGCGAGCAAAGAGAATTTACACTTTCATAATCAAAGTTAACAAGCCGTTTTCCTTTTTTTCGTCGCGGTGTTTTCTAAAAAAAAAAATAGAAAACATGTTCTCCGTGTTTCTATCGAGTTTTAGTATAAATCTACTAGCGTTCTATCACGAATGCCGTCCTCTGATTGGCTACGCTACTCACGTTCTATTCTGTGATAGATAGTGAGTAGCGTAGCAGCGTGCGCTGGGGGCCGCTTCTTTGTGTTGTCGAAGTGTCTGCGAAGAGGATTTAGATGAAAGTTTTGAACGATTAGTAGATTTATACTAAAACAATTAGATTATTCGCTCTCGATTTCTATGCGTGATAGTTGACTCGGGCTGCGCCCTCGTCAACTATCCCGCGATAGAAATCTCGAGCTCATAATCTAATTGTTTAATAGAAACACTCGTGAAAGTTTAGGAGAACTTCAAAAAGCTGTGGAAACACTCGCCTGCGGCTCGAGTTCCCACGGCATTTCTCGTTCTCCCAAACTTCCACTCGTGTTTCTATAACTCGATAGAAGCACGGTACATGTTTTCTATTTCTTAATTGCCTATCGGGTTTTGGTTTAGAGCAGATTCAAAACGATGTTTTCTATGCAATTTTCCTTCGAACATTTCTAATTCTGCCTGCAACTCTAGCAAACGAAAATTGTACTTTACACTCAAGCTAGGGCTTGCACATGCGCCCTTACCGTGAAGCTACGCCTTCAAGGTCTGACAGAATTTTACCTCAAGGGGTCAACAAGTAATCAAGGCCGTAAAAACAAATCATTCTTACATGTTGTAAGTCACGTTTGTGTTATGGTTTATGATGTTTTGATCGTTATTACAGCTGAATGTCATCTTTCAAAACGGCGAAAACAATTATAATTCCTGAGTTTGTTCGTTTGCTTGCTGGATTAACCTCACCCTGTTCTGGCTCCAGGTCTCCTCATTCTACTCAATACTTTCGCTGGCCCAGTCCTATTTGCTCTTGGTCTTCCTCTCGTCCTGTTTTGGCCTCAAATACCAAACAGAGTGCTAGGGACTGAGAAGAAAAGTGGTCGTCAATCAAGCAAAGGAGAGTTCGATTGGATTGAAAGTCCCGAGCAGTTAAGAACCCGGACATTTCGCCTCGTACTCATGTACCAGGCACTTCATGGCGTTAAGGTTTGTATGCCTCCAACCAAACATCACAGCTGCCTTTCATCCTGCTGGGCCGGAATATCCTTAACGATAATGAGTTATGCGTTTACTAACTACTTATTAACCGGGAGTGAGGTCTTTACGGGAAAATCTCAAACCGAGACCTTGCCGTATTGACCTCGCTATCGTTCGGTCAATACGGCAAGGCAAGGAGATTTTCCCGTATAAAAGACCGGACGTTCGAGGTTAATAAGTTGTTTATTATATAGCTTTTTGCTTGTTTTTTGCCGGCCCGTAATCGGCCCGAGGACATTACGGGGAATGATGCCCTAGTATTACTCAATCAGAGCGCCCGTTATATCGGCTACAAATACAAGTCATATAACAAATACAACTTATGCAGCGCTTTCTCGTGGTATACCGTTAAACATCCCAAGAAAACTCATATGGTAGGTGGGGTATTCCGTGGTACACCACAAGAAAGTCTTGCATTTTGTACCTTGCCATAGCAAATGCAGTGACCAACACAGTCAATGCGACATACGCGCTACGCACGATGGGAAGGTTAATACCATCGAATTTAAAACGGCTTTCCCTTACTCTAATTGGCTGTGTTTTCTATAGCTGATATAAAAACTAGCATGCAGTCTTCAGTTCTGCACACACTTACATAATAAGGATAGAGGCTGTATAGTGAGGTTCTTATTTCAAATCTGTTCATTTCTTGCGCAGCTTTTAGCCACATCTTGCTCTGCCGCTCTACACCGCCGCCATCTTATGGTGTGGAAGATTTTCGCTCCCCGATTCGTTTTCGAGGGTGTCTCCTTCTTGCTGACCACCGCTGTGTTGTTCGCGAGTTTTGTCGCGGTTCTCAGGATTGATCAAGCCCTACGAAGCTGGTTCAAGAAACTAGAGACGTCTGATGAATTGAAAACAAAGAGCAGATAGTCAACGTCCAGTCTCACCAAGGGTTCTCTAGTGTGTTCAGTAAATGAACCTCACCGTACGGGCACTTCGTTATTATGAGCAATTCACTTGGCCCCCTCAAACGACTCTCATAGTAGTCAACTGGTTGTTGACTAGTGAAATATCCTTTTCTTACGAGCGTCTTTGGTACGCTGCTCGTGTGAGAACGTTATGCCACAACATCAGCGGTCAGAATGTTAGCTAAATAAATGAGCGCTCTTCTCAACAGAGTTCGATTCGTTTTTAGATTGTTCACTGGTTCCCAGTCTCTCCAAGCAATGGGTGTTAATCAGATTTGGTATCAATCACTGATATTTTAACAAGAAATTAAAATTAAATCTGGACTGTTGGTACTCTTCGCGCTCGGTTTAAGCTTCGCGGGCATTTTTTCTCGCTCCGAGCCCAGCTTTTGCAGGCCGCCCTGTGGGCAAGGTAGTAAGCCAAGTTTTGCTAGAAGTATTGTTGGCACATAAAAACAATGCTTTCTTTAAAAAAAAAAAAATCCTTGTACATCTTCACAACTGCTGGCATCTTTTATTACTACTATTATTATTTGGGGAGATTTTTTTGCTACTTAGCAAATAATCTGTAATCTGCGCTGGCATATTAACGACCTTCGTAAGAGAGATTCTTGTTTAGTTAATTGCAGTCGTCTAAGGAAAATACTCCGCAAGGAGGCCGCTGATGTTATTCGCTACTTTTTTTAAAAGGCAAATTAATCTGCCTCGTGTGATCTTTAGAAACACTTGCCCCTGCTGTTTCCTGATGATATGACAATCAGTGATCAATTACCTGTTTAACTTGCACCCATCTTGAAAAGTCGTTTGTGAACAATCACTCTACATCGATTTATTTCGATTGTATTTCTTTGTTAACGTAGTGAACAGAAAAAAAAAATACCACTTATACCCCGAGGTTTAAATTGGAAATGCAATTAGAAGAATAAAAATCTTTTTTGCCCTCCCTTCAAGATGTTAAACAAGCTATAAACCCATTTAGAAACATTTCTATTTCTTCTAATAGTCCCTTGGAATCACTTAAAACCGTATCGATAACTAGCTTTCATCCAATAGCTAAATAAATTTGTTTTCGTGGCATCGAGGGAGATATTAAAAACGAGCTATCCGTGTATAGCGAAAGAACAAAACTTGAATATCTACTACTTTTGGTAATGGAAGGCCTGATTATATTGAATATATTTTCAAAAGAAGAATTACTTATTGAATTCTAGTTTTAAATTATTATCGATAAAAGCTTTACTTAGAAAATTCGTGCTCTGGCTGAAGCAGTCCTCTGTACAGTAATCTTGTAATGCAATGTTTTTGTTTTTTTTCTAGAGGAGAGCGAATCAGCTGCGGATTTCGTTCTTTGTAAAAAGACGGCGAATGTTTGTATACACGATTTATTAGGGTATAAAATTGTCAATTAAATGAATTTTACAGCTATGGGTATCTGACCCACGGACATTTGAAAAGATATTACCCCAAGCAACGATACAAAAAGAAGTACGTGAGAAGCGAAATAAACTAATTAGTGAGCGACCCAGAAACAATATGAAATTGTGGTTGGTGTTTTTTATGTATTAATTTATTTATTACTTTCTTTTTCTTGGATTGGTGAAATTTGTAATCGAAATCTTCCTATGACTTAGCTTTGCCGCCAGATCTAGTTGAATTTATTTCTATGACAAACAAAATCAATTAGTTATATTTGCGCCCCATGTAATGTAGCCATTGTGTTCAACTGGAAAAAAAAGACTTTCTCTCCAATTGTTGGGAAATTTCGGTCAAACACTGCAGTCCGTGAAGATCTCTGTAATACTAGGTAAGTGCGAACTGAAAATTGCTTCAATCTGCTATTACAGTATTAACGAGACAAATTTTAGTAATTAAAATTACTAAAATTTGTTTCGTTAAAATCGTCCACTAGTCTGAAAATGCCAATGGTGACCTGTGCAAGATTTTGCAATTCGTCAGTTTTCAAACTTACGTCCCTATACCTTGGCAGATGGAAAAGCTTAAAAGCTGGCTCAAAAACAATGGTATTTCACTAATCTCTGTCGTACATTCCGGAAAAGAGGATGGAGAGATGAGAAATTAAATTTCGGCATTCACAAAAGTTGACTTTGTATTGTTATCTCAAAAGAAACTTGAAGGCTTTTATTCTTATAAGCTTTCTGTACCGTCGAGTGTGAGCTCGCGTTTTTGCTTTGCATTGAACGAATAAGAAATGCACCCTAACTTTGTTTTACCATCATAGTTTTATTTTGTGATAGTTGAAACTGAGTCCTGAATCTAAGTCCTTTAGGGAAGAAAAACCATGAGGCTATCCCTGATCATCACTGCAGTCCTGTGTGTACGGTTGACGATGGGAGGAACAAACAACAACTATTGTGGAAAAAGTAAGTTACCGTATTCGCACTTATTTTTGCGCGTCCGAATTTTCACGAATTAACAAAACTCGAGAAATTTAAAACTCGCGAAAAAAAATCGTGAATTATACACACGCGATAATTAATACAATTTAGCAATTGCATAAAGTAAGTGTTACTCGAAACGAAAATGGCTTCCATAAATGCTAAAAGTTTCATTTCTGTCTTGTTTGGTTATTCTCTTCTGGATCTGACTTTCTTCCTGCAGTTCTTTCGGAATGTCTCTAGTACAAGTGATCATAACGACCATTAATCGGTTCTTTGTAGTTATCAATGAAGGATATCACCATAGGATGAGAGAAAGCTTGTGATGCCACTGTTGTGAGTGGAGAAACGAAACTTCCCTCGGAAAATCGTTTTGAGATCCACTAAAAGCGAAGGGTTGATTGTGTTTGAGCCTTTTCAGGCTAAAATTCCATTTTGAAATACTTTAGTACGGTACATTGATGATTCAGTATCTCTGAAAAGGTAATGGAAATAAACACTTTGTTGACGTTATTTGGCGGAATTTAATGCTCTTTATTCAATTAGTCTTCTTACTTTCGCGAAAAATGACTTAGCCGAAATCGCGAAATTAAGTGCGTTACGCCCATAACTAACATTATCTTTCAGGCCGATTCTGGACTCGCCTCTGCCACAATCTCCGCCTCCCAACCATTGTATCCTTTTACCCAGACAAGAAAGGATAAACGGAAAGACAGTTATTCCTCCGTATAGTCCTTATTACGACAGTAACCACTCTCATGTTATCTTTTTATGATAACCAGTTCTTCCACGGATAATACGTCACCTCTCGCGCCTTGCGTGGATGTTTTCCTGGAAGATGAAAATGCGTGTAAAGCGGCTTGAGCTGTCCACGTGAACAAAATCCGCATTACAGGATTGGCTATTGGCAGTGATCCAAAAATAACCTGAGAGGGATTACCTTGTGAATAAGAACTATATGAGGGATTAATTTCCACACCCAAGTAAACAAGGAAATACTGCATGAGTGAAAAGTACTCAAGGAGACTACCAGCAGTGTTGTTTCACTTTCCTTCCCAGATCCCTATCCTGACATCACTCTGCACAAATTCGCGGCGTGGGATTGCGGCAGCGATGAAAGCAAGCTTCTCGTTGATATTGACGCTGTAAACATCCCCATCTGCGTAAAAGGCAATTTCAGCATCGGCAGTGCAAACCCCGGCCCGTTCTCCATTGTTTACGTTGCTAGCATAACGGGGACAATAATGGGCTTTTTTCCGATTGTAGAAGACATCCCCATGTGTGATGCCGGACCGTGGTAAGTTCAAGCTCGACATAAATAGTAGAGGTCGAGATGGAGACGTAGCATGTGAACGATCCAATATAAATTAAGAGTTGATTATATAGACACGAGTGTTTTACTGGAAAAGATAGATACCTCTT